TGTTCTTATCGCGTCAGTGATACCCATGCAGGTCAGTCTCTGCAGTTTGCTGAGCTTGGCCTGTGTGGACTTCACTTCCTTCTTCTTCCACCAGACGGGAGCAGCATAGGTAAGAATGGGTTTGGAGACGGCATCATACATCCACCTCAGGTCCAGTCTTTTTAATAGTTTTATTTAGATGCGGATTCCATGAGAGCTTGTCATCAAAGATAACTCGTAGATACTTGACTTCTTTGGAGAAGTGTATCTTTTCACCATGAAGGAATAGTTCTACTAATTTGTCCCTTTTCCTTTTCTTGGAGAAAATGACTATGCTAGTCTTCTTTGGGTTAACGTTTAACCCATTTTTATTTATGGAGTGCAATGGGGTATAGTCGTTGTGCTGGGTACGCAGTTACTGTCGCACGGCTATACTCAATCCCGACTCTTGCGTCCGCGATCGCGCACTCTGGGCAACTTGAGCAACCCATGTGCGAGATGCGGTAACCAATCCGAGTGGAGCCTTGGCCACGGCAAAAAGACAGAGAGAGCTTCAGTGGAGCCACTCCGACTTATTCGGTTTAAGGGCTCACTGAAGTCTGCAGCGTCTGTTCACCAGTAGGTGCCGCCGCAAGCGGGTATCTGTCTTGGAACAAGCAGCTCACTATATAAACGTGTATTTGGTTGCGAAACCACCCCCGTCCCAGCAATGGGTTGTGCGCCGTGTAAAAACTCCATCCAGATAAGAAGCGAAGCAATGCCTCAGATGAGACCCCCAACGTACACTGAGAGAACCAAGCATCGACTCGAACCAATATCTTGTTGCAGCCAAGATACGCACCCGTCTCTGTGCAGCAAAAAATGCGCACCCAAATATGCAAGGAAATCTTAACGTCGAAAAACTGCAACCACAACAGACAGCCAATGCATTCGCTACTCGATTCTCACACCCGCTCTCCGAGAGCACTCTTCAACAAACCGACATATGCGAGCAGTGGAACTACATTTCCCGCTCAATAAGTGCTACCGCCGAAGAAGTAGTCGGATTTCAGCGAGTCCGAAAGAGCAACTAGTACGATGAGGAGTGTCAGGTAGGGATGAAACGATACCATAGAAGTATCGATACCTGTACTTGGAAGTAGCATCGAAAGAAAGTATCGATACCTACAAAGTATCGGGCTAAAAGTATTGATACGAACGTATATCGATATTTGTACCTATATAAGAATTGAAATATGTTTATGTTTGTTTGTATTCACATATGTGCCAAATTAACTTATGTGACTATCATTATTGATTTTAGATTAATCTTTTAGATTTTTTTAAGAAAAACTTTCAAGTTTTAAAACAAGTTTTACTAGGATGGACCCTCAAAAAACAAGAAAAAGTATAAAGTTCAATAAATTGTCTTTAAAAAGTATACAGCATTTGCTTCTTTTTATGTACGTATTTTATTTGTTTGTATTTATTTCATACAAATTAATTAATAAATAAAAACTATCTGTATTATAACACTGTTCAACAGCATTTTTGCAGAGTAACAGTGCTATATTTCTGGTAGAAGTTATCATGTTTATCATTTTAATGAGACGTTAATAGGTCTTTCTTTGTACAAAGCAACCTTTTCTTCTACATCAAAGCTCTATGTGACTGTTCTAGAATTTGTACTTTTGGCATTTTGTCAGATGGCCTTGAAATACAAAAAGTAAGAAATTTAGACGCAAATCAACTTCTTTCGGAAATATACCATGGTCATTCTGATAAAAATTAAGAGTATATACTAATTTGTAAAATTGTTTAAATAATACGTTAGGTACTATAAGCCGTCAATTGAAAAACTCGGACCTTGTCGCGCTGCCCAAAAACAACAATTTTTCCAGATGCTTTCCAGTAAGTCGATTTCTTGAAGTGGTTATTATGGCTTTACAAAATAATCTCTCGCATGGCACGGAAGTCGCAACTATATGTAGATACATGAGAGCCTATTTGTATAACATTGGATAGGTTGATTTTAAATCCTCCCATTCCTCTAACGGATTGGATTTTAAAGAGCAGACGGGGTTTGATAAATAAAGCTACAACTCATCCCCTTTTGTAGAGCGTTTTCGTTTTTGTCTAAAAATCTTCTTTAACCACGTCTTCTTCGGAGCTGGTATTAGCGTCTCCTTGAATAAGACTTTTTAGTTTAAAAATTGCCCGACCGCAAGCGTTCGCATCTTGAAAATAAAGATTATTGAAGCGATGATCGAGGATAGTTCCTAAATCTTCGTAGGTGTTGTATTTGTTGTAAATCTTTTACTACACTCCGCCAGGAGTTTCGTTTGTAGTTGGGTGACACAATCAAGAGTTGTAGAAAATTTACTCACTTAAGATGTTAGGCAGTTAACCATAGGTATTATCTTGGAAAGTGTGACATAATTCTGTCCTGAAGATTCTTTGGTTACGAACTCGAAAGGCTTCAGTAGTTGAACTATTTGCTTAAGTATTTCTATTTCATTTTTTGCTATCCCCACGTCTCCACCTTCTACAGATTCTGTTAAAAAAGCTGTGGTACGACAGAAATGTCAAGTGGAGACCGCAAATTTCCACTGTTAAACCATATCTGTCGTGCCGCATTTCTTACCATCGCTGTATTAACATCAGCTGTCATTTCGTAGTTCGACAACTCAGTTTTCATTTTACCGCCCCATCTACATTGGGTACAGACCGATTTGATTGGCTTGATGCCATTCTGAAAGTGATATGTTAAGACAGCAAGTTGCCCACATGAGAAAACAGGACAATGTCAAAACAGATATTTGACAGATATTAAGACATTTTTGGTAGAAAGAGGAGACGTGGAGTATCATTTCAGGACTGTCTGTGGCTCAAGTATAAGTTGGGACGAAATTTTGGACATATCCAAAAATTTTTCCAGCATGTAAAATAGTGAATTCCAGTGCGTTCTAACGTCTAGGATGAATTTCTTGGTGGATCCTTCCGGAACTCTTGCTCGATCCAATTTGCAGGTTCATTCGCTACGAAAGAAATAGAACGCGCTTCTTTTTCGTAGAATTGTCAAAATAGGCGTCACCCCGACGTTGGCGCCTTCTTGCGGTTTTCATTGCCAACTAAACTGCCAAAATTTTTTCACTATTCACAAAAAAATTAGATCAAAAAATAAAGTCCGAGAATAAAATTGTCAATGAATTGGGGTTTCGATACAAGTACTTGTTTCCGATACGTACTCAGTACTCGGTTCAAAAGTATCGAGTACAAAATTACTTGGTATCGGACGAAAAGTATCGAGTATGTACTTGTATTTACTAGTATCGTTTGAACCCTAGTGTCAGGAAGCTGCAGAGAAACAAGATGCCGCCCACAGGGCCACGCTGCGATCGGGGGCAACGCATGCTATCTGGGACCGCTATAGGCATCTGAAGAGGGAAGCGAGACGTATTTGCCGCAATAAGAAGAGAGGGGCCAAAATGCATGAGTGCGAGGAGCTTGAAATGCTGGCCGACAGGGCGCAATCCTGTAAGAAGAACGTACTTAAATTATGGAGGAAAAACTTTTCCACCCTAAAGAATGGTAGCAGCACGGAAAGTTGTGGAGAAAGAGAACCCCGTTTCCAGATGATGACGGAGTCGATGTTCCTCCGCCTTACTACGACGAGGTACGAATACGAATATCGCGGATGAAAAACAGCAAAGCTGTTGGAGCTGACAGCCTGCAAGCTGAGCTATTCCAGTACGGTGGCGAGAAGTTGATAAGGTGCAAGCATCAACTTTTATGCAGAATATGGTCAGATGAACGCATGCCCGACGACTGAAATTTAAGTGTACTCTGCCCAATGCATAAGAAAGGGGACCCCGCCATTCGCACCAACTACCGCGGGATCAGCCTTTTAAGCATAGGTTACAAGGCCTTATCGAGCGTTTTGTGTGAAAGACTGAAGCCCACCGTCAACGAACTGATTGGGCCTTATCAGTGTGGCTTTAGACCTGGCAAATCCACTATCGACCAGGTATTCACAATACGCCAAATCCTGAAAAACATCCGCGAGAAAAGGATCGACAATCACCACCTATTTGTCGACTTTAAAGCCACTTTCGACAGTACTAAAAGGAGTTGCCTATGCGCCGCTATCGGAAAAGCCCTCTCCGAGCCGTTCGCCACCAAACGGGGTTTTAGACAGGGTGACTCCCTTTCATCTGACTTCAGATTAATCTGATGATTAATCGGTTGACATCAACATCATCGTTCACATAAACTGCGAAGTCTGTTCTGCCTTTTCAAAGTAGGATAAGGAATCAAAACGAATGGGTCTGGTGGTAAATGAAGAAAAGACGAAGTATCTTTTGTTATCAAACAAACAGTCAGCATATTCGTGCCTTGGAACCCACGTCACTGTTGACAGTTACAAGTTTGAAAAAGTAGACGACTTCGTTTATTTGGGAACCAGAATTAACACCGATAATAATGTCAGGAAATCCAACGCAGAATCACTGTGGCCAACAAATGCTACTTTGGACTAAGTAGGCAGTTCAGGAGCAAAGTCCTCTCTCGATATACGAAAACCACACTCCATAAGTCACTCATCATGCCCGTGCTGGTATATGGCGCAGACGCATGGACAATGACGACATCTGATGAGGTGGCTCTTGGAGTGTTCGAGAGAAAGATTTTGCGGAAAATTTACGGGCCTTTACGCGTTGGCAACGGCGAGTAACGCAGATAATGGAACGATGAGCTGTATGAGCTTTACAACGACATAGTGCAGGGCTGGACCATGTCGTTCGAATCGACTCCGACACTCCAGCTCTGAAAGTATTCAACTCGGAACACGCCGGTGGCAGCAGAGGAAGAGGGAGGTCCCCACTGCGATGGAAAGACCAGGTGGAGAAGCACTTGGCTTCACTTGGCATTTCCAATTGGCGTCAGTTGGCACAGAAAAGAAACGACTGGCGTGCTTTGTTGAAGTCGGCCAAAATTGCTTAGGCGGTTACAGCGCCAAATAAGAAGAAGAAGAAACCCGCGGGTATAAGCTAATTATAGTAAAAATGTCAATGTTTTATCAGCTTTTCTTTTTTAATGTTTATGTGAACTAAGTACTTCATAAGGCAAATACTCCCCACATGCCATTCATGCCTCATTCAATCAAAACCAAAGCTACTCTCACCTCCAACTGATAACACCAGACAGGTGGCGGAGAACTCTGTGCGAGACCAAAAAGTTACTTTAGTACCTCATCAAACTCAAACCGTGACGGTGTACAAATAGCCTTACGGTAATGCAATTTGATTTCGGTCTTCAGAAGTATATTCGGTGTAGTGTTACTTTCAGTGTTTTTTTTTTTTTTTTTTTTTTCAACAGGCGAAGAGCGGTATTTCGAGAGTTCGAGCTGCTTATCAGTGCAATGAGTAATTTGCGATATAACTTATCGAGTGATTGACATTGCGGAACATCCGCGGCTGGTGCGTCGATCAGTATTCATAACTCATCCGGGATTAAATGCTCGAATCTTAAGTAATAAGTACCAATACAAAGTAATTAACTCAAAATTGTTATAATGGCACGATAGTGTCGTATTTTAAGCCTAATTATAAACATATGTAATGTTTGCAAATAATTACGGGTGGTCTATTTTTTGTTTAATATAATTAAGTGAAACAAGTAAAAAGGAAATAAAAGTTGTGCACAAGCAATTGTGTTGCAATTAACATTTTCATTAAATTCTAGAAATTATAAAATTAAAATGTACATATGTGTGTGGGTGTGAAAAGCTCAAACAGGTAATAAGTAACATTTTATTGGATACACTTGTCATGTTTGTAATGACATTTGACCAATCACTGTTGACGCAACGCTTAAAATAAGCGCGATAAGAAATGAAAGTGTTTGCATAACTATCTTTAACTGGAGGCAACTGATTACGGTGTGATAAAAATGCAAATGTATACAATGGGTATAGAAGTATGAACATACATTCATACATACATATGTAGATCGTCATAATACCTCATATCTCAAGTCAAGTTCAAGCATAATTAATAGGGTCGTTATGAGCCCGTTAAAACAAATTTGTTTCCGTCCTTTCATTGATTCATATACTACCCGCGCACATAGGTAGATTTTCCAGTTTTATGCGGAAAAAAATATTTTATTACCTCTATCTACTCAAAATTGGTTATCAAATGTAAAATTCAGGATACGAAAATAAACTGTACAAAACAATTCCCATTTGCTCATCGATTATCATATCATTTGTGGTTTTGTACAGTTATGTACATACACTGAGGAAATAATGCATAGTAAAAATTAATACTTTATATTTGATTATCGTTTAAAAATGTTCGTATTTAAAAATAATATTTTCATACAAAATTTATTACGCACGTATTTGACTGTTCACATCTGAGTATGTATATGTAAGTGTACATACTCTGTGGGGAAAATCTCTAGTTCTGAACTGGGGCGCTTCTAGTACATTTAGACCCAGTACTGGTTCGCGATAAATCTCTTTTGCATGCAAGCAACTGGCGAATTTAACATGGCGATGTCCTAGGAAGTGTCAATTGCCCCCGCTGCATCCCTTTTTCGATAGTTCCGAACTAGTTCAAAATCTATAGTTCCGAACCAGTTTTAAAATCGACAGACGAAAGAAAAAAGTATCATGATTTTTCAATCTTTTCGGTTCTTCCGTGTGTGATTTTACATTATTTTCAAAGAAACATTTTTTCAAATTTGAAATTAAATTTGTTTGAAAGATTGTAAGAAATGTACGTTTACATACCTTTGGCTGTAGCTGACTTTGCAGAGGTGCTCGCTGTTATTGGTTAGATTCCAGTAGGCCCCAAGATGTTAATCTGTTAACACAAAGCTCTGTTTTGTATTACCAAACTATGAAATAGCATCTGCGAAGCACAGAAGAGAAGCGTATTTGAACGAAAAAGCCGCCGAGCACATATCTATGTAGAGTAAACAAGCCCACCGCTGCATGCATTATTCGATAGTTCCGAAATAGTTCTAAATTCGACAAATAGGATCTAGTTCGTTCTGCATCCCTTTTTCTATAGTTCCGAACCATTTCTAAATTCGTCACTTTAGATATAGATTTCTAGTGAAAAAAACTGAAAAAATTAGTTTCTTAAAAGTACCACTTTTCGCCGATTATAGACTGGTGGGGATCTAGTTCCTATCGGACTAGTTCGTTTTTGGCGATAAAGACCTAGTACGGAACTAGAAATTTGATTCACTAGTCCGCGGTTTCCCTACAGGGTACGCACCCCAAGCAAGCAGAGCGCCGCTCTGAGAGTGCCCTGCAGGGAAAGCTACCAGCAGTGTTGCCGCGAAACATTTTTAGCGGTAGCTAAATTTAGGCTAAAAAAGGGCTAAAAAAGAGCTAAAAATCGTCGTTGTGGCTAAAAATGGTAGCTAAATTTTTCTACCTACATATAAATATATTTTCTATAAGTAATGATATAGAAAAACAATGAACTCTGGATAGAATTAATATTTTATTCAACAAAAAAACTTGTTGTGTAACACATAAAGCATATTAAGGGCCGCCAACTTACCTATTTTAAAGTATAGTTAAATCGTTAATGGATAAGATAACGGCCCAGAAACGTAAAAGACATACATATACATATGTATGTACAGTTTAAAAATTAATTTCTTACATAAACAAAAAAATGAGATCACATTAAGAATACATAAGTACTAGAATCATATCTATATACAGTGTCGGACAATACTAAATAACTTAAATAATTTCAAACTATGCTTCGAAAAATATCCATTTGTAAAAGAAATTTTTAAAATGTTATGTTATAATTTACAAAGAATTAAAATGTCGCCGCTTTATTATTGTCCGACGCTGTATGTATCAAACAAACAAAAGAGTATTCATTTAATGAACTCATAGTAAAATAATTTAATCTATAAAATTTTTTTTTAACACATTAAAAATTTATATCTATATCAATACTATCATCGCTAAGCGATTCTTCGTCGTTACAATTTTGTTCATTTCTCATTAACCTGACGATATCATCTGTAAAATCAAAATCATGACAACATTTCTGTACATTTTTTAAGCCATATCTTACAGTTAATAAAGCGTTTAACATTGCAAAATTCATTTTATTTCTGTGCTTATTTATTATAGAAAACATCCTTTCAACTTCTGCGTTACTTAGGGCCGTTTTCTCATCTAACCTTTAGTTTACCGGCCACTTTATCGTCTCGATATACGACTTTTCGTTTTCTCATCAGCGCATTAATTTCTCGAATCGATAAACTGTTGCTCACCCGATGCAACCTTTAAAATTTGTACCCAACTTTAAATTTTGGTTTGGTTTTGGTTCATGAGTCAGATATATTAGATATTTCAACCAAGGTTTTGGTTTTTGCTAACAGTTCCTCTTGCTCTATATTTGCTTATGTTGCATTGCCAACCTTTAAAATTTTATGACGAATGTAGTGAAGTTTCACTCCCGGAAATGTAGTGAAGTTTCACTATACGGAATAACAAATTAATTTTAACCGGTTAAAATTAATTTGTTATTCCGTAGAGTGAAACTTCACTACATTTCCGAGAGTGA